TATATATATATATTAATATTTTCGGCTCTTAAGTGTATTGTGGCGAACTCGTACATAAGCTCGTAGTCTTTGAAACTTTTAGGAGGCAGGTATAGATTTTTCAAAATAATTCTCGTCCAGTAAATCAACTGTGCACGGTTTTGTTGTCAAGTCGTTTTTGACTTCTGCTATTTTGGAGTCAACTTTTGCGCTTTTGTTTTGTTTGTAGAAATTATGCAGCACTGTGGAATGACGATAATTGTTGTGTATTCCAGTTGCTTCGAACAGTATTTTTGGGTTACGGCGGGACCGTAAATTATTACCTTAAACCAAACGTTTAAACCTCAAATGGAAAAAGCGCATGATGGAGACGAGTCGCAGGAGGTGGACGTTTTTCAGATCGACGACTTCACTGTGATTACTCCCTTAGAGGTCCTTATTTCTCAACTGGAAATGACAATACATGATTGGGGTTTGGGTAAAGGTGCGAAACATAATAATTTTGCAGTTCGAAAGGTTAGCTTTTTGTTATTTGAATTGTCATTCTCGAAGTTTGTTACTGTGAATTTTCACTCATTTTTTTATTATTAGTTCAAAGTTTATTTTCTGCTTTTCTCACTACAGTGAGCCTTTAAGAGAGACCATTCAGAGTTAATTTAGGATTTAAGCTGCTGTATCGAATGGGATTCTAGAAGTGAGAAAATTCCTTTGGAAGACGATCATGCGCTTAACTTAACTCATTTTTGGCCGAAGAATATACCGCGAATAAAAACGCAGGAACCTGAAGAATCTAGTCATAGAGATCTTGATAGTTCGTTCAGTTACCTTACGAGTGGATTAAAATTAATGATGCATCATGAACTAGACTTCATGCCTTGCTCTGTCATCACTTCTCAGGTATTTTACGCAGCAGTTTATTATTTCCAACTATTGAATATCGATGAAAATTTTAAAACAATTTCATCTAAATTTGTTGTTGATTGTGAAAAGATTTTTAGTTTTTCCTTCATCAATCATTTTTGAGAAATGATTTTTGTTTCACTTATTTCACTGGTGATTTGTTTTTTATAATTATTTTTTCGTTGTTTTCTATTGTCGAGCTTTCTTAATGGGTTTTTCTTTTTGTTTTCTTTTTGTCTTTTTTATTAACTAATTTCCTGATTGACACTTTTGACACTTTTTCAGTTCGGAATTCTAGAATTTTTGCTGATTACTCCTTATATTTGGTCTAATGATAGGATTAGTAATGAGGATCACTTGAACTTTGTCATGTCAGCTGTAAATGTTGCAGCTTCTAATTTAGAATGGTAAGTTTTGAAATGCGTGTGTTTTACTTCTATTCTAGCGTCTATCAAAAGTTATTAAACTAATGTTTATGCCACTTGTTTTTTGAATTTAGGACACTTAGATTAACGTAAAATTTTTTTCATTAAGTGACATTCCAATTTTTGTACAATATGACACATTCGATCGTCATCATTATTCGGGCATTTCACAAAACGATTCTGTACGAACTGAGTTTCTTACGAGTAGTATCAGTCAACAATTGACGCGACATTCAAATGTCGATGGTCTTAAAGAAATCTTTTTGGACCGGATGGTTAGATTGACTCTCGATTTTATAATCTGTCTGATTCAGCCGTAAATAATGAATAATTATCAACGTTATTGCTTTTTTATTCACCTCTCAAAAATCATAAACTTTCGATTGCTTCGGTAATAAGAAATTATTTCATTTTTAGAAGGTACCGTACCCTCGGGAAATTGATGCCACTGTATCACTGATGGTTGATTACACTCTTCAGGTATTTTCTCTTGTCTTGCCGTAGTTACTTTGCTTCTCCAAACGTACTCCCACTTTTTAATGTATCGCATAACTAGATTTCTTTTTCGGTTTTTTGTTGTTTTAGAACATAACCTGTTTGTTACTTTTAGGAAGAGGATTCCAAATACAAACGTTCTACTGATTTAGAGGATGAGTACGATGAGGAATATTCTCTTGAAAATTTTATGGTTGACAGCGCCTCACGCTTATCTTTTGGAGCAACGTCTGACCTTCTAGAGTAAGGGTTTTACATCTTTCATCAGGTTTCAAATGCAAAAAAAGTTACGCGATCATTGTCTAAATTTAAGAGTACTTGTATTTGCAGTTTTTTTTAGCAAAATTGTGCTTTCTTCTGTTTGGATGAATGAAGATGTGCGTTTTTTCACGGAAGACGAAAATACTAAATGGTATCTTTTTCAAGCTCCAGATGTTTATGTTCATGTCAAATTTTCTACTGGAATAACCTGCGCTTTGCGTAAGCCTCATTTTAAGTTTAATCTGAATCAGTAATTTGTCGACCACATTTTTAAGCTGTGTTCAGCGAACACTATCTTGTATAGATTGATAAAAAAAATATTTTTGTTCATTAAATCAAATGAGGGGAGACCATTGTTTAGATCAGAGCTTACGAAATTTACTTAATGCGTCTAGTTATGCGAAAGGCAGTGAAAAGATATTGGAACTGTTGAAAGATGCAGGCTACGATGAAATCAGCTTGGGACGCAGCGCTCTTTCTTCCTTAACTCTTCCTAGTACTGTTTCTATAACAAATCCCACTAATGTAGAAGAAAGAACGAGGCTGGATCAGGTACTTTTTTTAGTTACTAATACAGTCCTGTGTTGTTTCTTTTCTCAAAATAATTGGTTTTATTTACATTTGTAAGCAAGTTTGGAATACGCTAGTACTTCTAATTAAAACTCCAGTAAGATATTCCCATTTCTAGAGCTACATTTTCCGGTGGGTTGATGCAATTTTTGTTACATCTGATTCCACAGCTTTCGAGAATAGCTTATCATCAAACAAAGAATGGCTTCAAAATTCCCCTGCAAATGCTCCAGGTAGTGCTGTAAAACAGGGTGCAGAATATGTTAGCAAAACTGAGACTGCAGTTTCTAAAGAGTATGACAGGACGTTTGGGAAATGTATGGTATGGATATCGGTCTTGCTGATTTAACTTTTGTTCCATATATTTCATGCTCTTTTGGAAGATAATTTGGATTAGGAAACTTAAATCTTTTTTGAGAATTAGTTTTAGTCACTATTGGATAGTTCCAAATCCGCCCCGTTCAACAGTCTAACTACACGTCTTGCAATTGCACTGACTCATGTGCTGGAACGGCACTCATTAGGAACAGTGGCATTTGCACAGTTATGGTTTGCAGTTGTACGCGAACTACGTGAAAAATGGGAAAAAAATGAATATCTTTCAGGGTCAGGTTTTGGCAAGCGCTAACATTGATTATTACCCCTCTGTTCAATTACTTGTCGGGTCACTGATTTTCTTTATTATGAATGAACTTTATGCACACCTACTTTTTGTACTTTTAACTTCTTTTTTAATTTTAGAATAGAACCTTTTCTCACCCCTGACTATGGATCGTGTCGTTTGCATCAAAAGCTACAAATGTTGCAATGCTGTATCGATAGTAGAGTTAAACAACATCAGCGTTATGAAAAGGAATTGAACTCAGCAGAACAAAGTAGGCTTTCTGCTTACCGATACTTTGAGATTAAAACTGTAGTGCGGCACGGTTAATGGCCATAACGGTCTCCAGCCTATTTTTTTCCGATTTCTGTTTTTACTATTGCTCCGTCTATAAGACTTTTAAAAAATCACGAGGGAAGGCGGAACAAATTTGAAGGAAAGAGATTTTTTCTTTTGAGGTATAATTATAGACATCATTTAGGTGGTGAAGAGTATTTTGATGCTGAAGAGTGGTTGTCTGAAGATAATGAAGATGAGGAAAGTCTGAAGGACGACAGTAGCGATAACTTTTTGTTACCGCAAGGACGAAGTAAACAATTAAATATTTTTCTGATTAACTATCCAGAGAGGCCTATTTATGAGCCGTTGTTACAGGTTATTTTTTAACTAGTTTTCCTTGCGTGTGGTGTGTTGTACTCTAATAATTATGTTTTTTTAAGGAACGTTGCCCTATGACAGAGGATAGTTTTGAAAAATATGCTAGTTACTTAGCTTCTTTCGATTCTTCAGAATCCCGAGTCAAAGCTCAGTTGGAATATCTACGCTCTGACATGCAAGCATTTAAGGTACCGAGAACACTTTTAAATGGTGTTTTCAGTCATCTTAATTCATTTTTCTTTAGGCTGCAAATCCAGGTAGTGTTTTTGAAGACTTCATTCGATGGCATTCGCCTCGCGATTTTATATCTGATGAAGCTGGCGAAGGTATGAAAGTTAAGAATCTGGACAAAATTCTATTTTACATGGTGTTAGATTTTATTTGTCAAAACTTCTGAGCGTTTCACGGTTGGAAAGATTTGTTATTTATACTTCGGGTGATCTAACAGATTTCTCTTCGTTACCAGTCAAGAATATTTATTTTTAAGACAGGCTCTCAAGTCGCATGCAAGGCGAGAATAATGTGTGGCTTGAAACGTGGCGTGATGCATCTCCGCGTCCGGCTAAACGTCAAAAAAGACTTTTCAACGAAAGCAAAGAGGCAGAACTGGTTAGTATTATTTTTTATCCAGGTTCTAAAGAACTTGTTATCGGATATATGTTACTGAAAAATTCAAATGTAAAGTATTCTTTTCTTTTATGGGTTTCTTTGGAGCTGAATAGTTTTTGCCAGTTTTGTTAGTTAGATGGAACTACATGACTTGTCGATTTGTTCTATCGCACCTTGTTTATTGATTTGAGAATACGAGTGAAAAAATTGCCGGCAAACGGCTGCATCTCTGAATCTGTGGGCATGGTGTATGTTCGTTTATTTTTTTGAACTGCTTTAAGTACGTTACAGGAGAGAATAAATCATTTTCAGTGGTAGGACCAACTCGAGTTGTGCAACTAGAAAATCTTTTTATGAAATGTAGCATTCTCTATTCTGGCTGTTTCGAAATGTGTATTTATCTTGAAAATTTCTGGATACAGTCGTTCATTTACTTTAGCAGTACTTTGTTCCTTGGGGACTTAGGAATTATTTTAACCAGAAAAATATTCGGAGGCTGAGTTTTGATTTTAGGATGAATGAGGACGCCCGCTTCTGGCGTAGCGTGGAATGTAATTTAAGTTTTAATAAGGTGGGAGTTTGCTAAAAGCAGAATTGCAGAACGATATAAAGTGAAGGTGTTATTTATTTGATCTAGTTCTTTACTTTTTCTAGTCCTCATAACATTTTGTATAATGAAGTATGATATACTTGTCGTTTTTCAATACTAATGTCTTGAACATATTTCTCCTGTATCTTATTGCTTACTTAATCTTAAGTATTTGAAAGTATGATTTGCGGGCTGCATAATCGCGTACAAAACTAGGTCAACTGCAAGAAGCCAAATAGGCGGACCATCTAGAACGGGTTGAAGTACAAAAAGTTTAAAAAAACTGTATTTTTAAAATTATTGAACTAGTTTTTGTAATAGAAACTTCTCTTTAAAATATTAGATTTATTATGCTTTTGACACAGAAATGCTCGTTCCAGAATAAAACGGGGAGAATTTTTCCCCTTTCCCAATTTTTATCAATATTGCTGGTTAGTTTCACTTGCCTACTTGAAAATTTCAATTTTGCCATTTTTACAGATTTTGCAAGAGTTAATGTCGTTAACCGTTTCTGAAGTTGTCGGTCTACTATTGCCAGTAGTCTTTAAATGTGCCAGTAAACAAGTAGTTGAAGAATGTAATTTCATTTTCTCAACCGTTTCTTTCCTTTCTCAATTAAAAACTGTTTAAATTTTCAATGAACTTGTAACTTATAAATTTATCTGCATTTTTATTTTTGTAAAGCCATTTTCAGGTTTGGAAAAAGGCTGCATTAGTGGTGATAAACTTGTGGAATTTTGTCAGAAAATTTCAAACTGCACGAAGACGAACGATATGGAACTTTATTTAGATGCTCTTCGTGAACTTTACGTTATTGAACTAGAAATCTCGCAGTTTAACGCGTTATGGGACAGGTTTTCTAGTGTGGCTAGGGGTGAGGTGGGCTTTATTTGTGCCTACCTTTAATTGCAAATAGGTTTATATCAAAATTTTGCAATTTTCAAGGGAAGTACCCATATTTACTTCAATTTTTTGCTCATTTAAGATGAAAAAAACATTATACGGGCTAAGTTACTTCAAGGGTTTTGGCTATAGTTAAAGTTTCAAGTTGGTTAAACTCAACGAAAACTATAGCTGTTTATTTCAAGGTTAAATATACATTTTTGAAGTCATAAGTATCAGAATTATTAGCAGAATTTTCTGCTCCTTCCCATTAGAAAAGTGCTTTTTTTTCATTCAGATTGAGAATTTTGAAAGTGACAGACTTTTGCGTAACTTCACGCGAAAGCTGATTGAAGCTAGTCAATCCGCAGCAAAAGCTAGCTCGCTGAAAGGCGGTTCAGCAGGAATTAATTGCATGGTGCAGGTGCAGTCCCACCATCAGGTGAATTTGCTTGGGATCGTCATACAAAAGTTATTTGGTTCCGACATCAGAATACTTAAAAATCAACCTCATGGGCAAGCACTTCTTATGTCTTTTATTACTTTATTCTCTCTAACTTACTACAAGTTATGATACTAGTTCTGGTCTTACATTTGATTCACTCAGCCAGTGAAGAAATCATTTTGAAGACATCTCAAAAGTCGTATTTTACAGTGATTTGGAGGCTAAAACGGCCATAGACCGCCATAGAAAAGATGGAAAACTTTTACTACTTCCATACAGCAGGTTATTTTTTGATTTTTTTTTATTCTTTGGTCGTTTTTCAGGATTTTTTTTTATTATTTACTGGGTAATATTGTTTTTTCATGGTCTTTTTGTAGAAAACAGTATATATTTCATTGCCAAGCTTCTCTTCCTGGAATGGGTTCCAGGATAGCGCCACAGCGAATGTACTTCTGTGTGAATGAAAAAGGTCATTTTCGAATGGGTACATCCGTCACTGAAGATCTTGTTTTACAATAAAATTTGAGTCTGAGGTGACAAGTTTTTTGATTGTAAATATTGTCTGTATATCTGTTGGTTGTAATTCCTCCTTTTCTGTTTTGTGTGGTTTAAGATCTTTATTGTTATATGTTGGCATAAGTAATATATGACTGGCTAATTAATAATGTGAACTAGTTTACTTCATTGCCTCTTGTTTGGTTAATTTTTAGTTGCTAGAAAGCGTGAGAAAGGAAGTCGCTAGGATGGTTTAAGGTTAACGTTGAAATTTATTTTTTATATCAGCAACAAATTTTGTGAATAGGACTGCCATTTTATTACGGGGTGCGAGAAACGGTTATTTATGAGGGTTTTCAGCAGTTATTAGGCTTTAGGTATTCTCAGTTTTTTGGTTCTGAAGTACAGTGAGGGTAGTTGTGATTAGAAAGGACCGTTAGAGAATGGGAAAGGATATCGTATAAGAGGGAGTTTAAACAGCCCACTAAACTATCCCTTTCTCACGCATAAAAAGCCAACTTTTGTATTGTTTGCTTCCTTGAAAGAGATTTAATGAGGCTTTGAAAAAGATTTCCGCAATTGCAACTCTGATTGTCTTTTCTTTGCTTATACCTGTCAAGTGAGGGTTAGATTTGAATTCACAAGTTTGCACATGTTATTACTGGAACTTTACATCTTAAAATGAGTTTTCCTACTAGAACCAACCTGTTTCAACAGCATTGTTATGTTTTTTTTCTCTTTTTTATTATTCTTGCAGCTCTTTGTTAGCATCTTTAGTGTCAGTGCTAGATCAAGAAGTAGAACTACAGCAGTCCTGGGGAGAGGCTAGTACACTGTCTATTGTTAAGGGTTCGAAATTTTTGGAAGGCGGTTGTAAAAGAAATTTGCTTTGTATGTGGCATCGACGTTGGTGGCTTCTGGTGAATGGTAATGTCAGTCACCGAGAGTGGGGCATTATTTAATTTTTACAGCAAGAAGGCCTGAAGTTGTCTGGAAGTGGAACAGAAATTCTTCTGTTTGACAGGAGGCTAATTCTAGTTTCAAACCGATTGAGCTAGTTGTAATTCTTCAGTTGGAGAAAATTTAAAATTGTTTTTTTTATTTTACTAATTTTTTCCATTCATAGAAAGAAGCTTCTTTGGGCCCGAGTTTTTGCCAAAATTGGTTTAGTATTTCTCTTCTGGGACGCCTCCTTTCTCGTCAGGTTTTTCGGTCTGAGGCATCATAAAGTCCACCGCTCTTTCTCGTGCAGTTTGACTTTGGTGTCCTCTTAGTTTCAGCATGTGAATGCTGTTGTGAATTAAATATCTAGATTCAGTGGATGAATTCTGAATTTTTGTGCTCGATTGGAGCTGGTAAAAGTTACAGTAGCATGTTTGTTCTATATGTATTTTAAAGTAGTTGTGGTTTTTCTGCCATCTAATGCCATAAAATGCTTTTAAAGTGTGGCAGTGAAATACATGTAGAAAGGATGATATACGTCTTAGTCTTGGTTTACTGCTTGCAAATATTTCTAGTGAATTGATTCTTCCAATCTTGACGCGCAAGAAGTGATAAGATTGTTTGCCTGTTTGAATCTCAAAAATGGCTGTCTTAGCATGCCTTCTGATCACTTTCTTGGTCGTTCAAGTAGAGATCCAATAGTGATTGGGCACCAGATGAAATTGTCTTGTAACTTCAACACCTGCAGCAGTAGCTTAGACAGTATTATATAGCGTATTGTGGATACCTTATTTTTTTATGTAAAGCAGGATAAGGACCTTTCGAACAATTACCAGGTTGTAAACAACAGGGGCGGTTATAAAAGGAAAAAAAGAAACACTTGCTCTGCAAATTAGTGCTTTTTTTTCGTTTACTTCAAATGTAATTATATAGGCGACAAATAAAATACAAATATTCTCTTTTCAGTGTTCAATCAACAATTCTATGATACCCACAAAAATGGTCTAAACATTCACAAACTACAAACAAACAACATTCATATAAATAATACAGATACGGTATGAACAAGAAATAAAGTCCCAGTAGGTAACAGTTGCCTGTTAAACTGATAAATAGGCGGGACGAGAACAATGTGAATGAGATTAGAAACAGCAACATCTTTTTTGTCATACAGTTTTTTTTTTTTTTTTTTTGCTTTTCTCTTCCTTTTCTAATTTTATTTTTTTTTGTTCACCTCATTTCTGTGTCCTTCTATGAACAGAAATAACAGCATTTCAGAAACAAGTATCAATACCAATTTTCTAAACTGAACTGCAGTGGCACAGAGAGGGAGCTTTTTTGGAAGGCAGGAAAATGGTCAGCGAAAGAATCGAGGAAATCTGAATGCAACTAGCTGCTATAAGTTTTCTTTGGGCTTTCATATCTCTTTGATTTTCTGTTGCTTGAAAGCTTACAATTTTGCAAAGCAGACCGATGAATCATTCATCGAAAGTACATCACTTTCAATGAACTTTTTCCGGAGGCCCCACAAAATTGAATTTAAAATGCACTTATTTTTTGCATCTCTTTCTTTTTCAAAGACGATGGGGTGGGCAAATTGAGTGCCAGGGGAAGCAGTTCACTAAATTTTGCAAAGTTTTTGTTTTCACTTCTTTCACCTCTTTTGCCATCCAACAAATTTCTTCCTTTCTACCAAAATCTTCGCCGTAACCTTCGCCTTAATATCATTGATTAAAAATTCAAGTTTGATTTACACTACTAATGAGTAGAACAAAAAATGAAAACAAGGAAGAAGAAAATATAAGAGGAAGAATGGGGAAAAAAGAGGAAGAGAGGAAAAATGATGGCAAGACCTGAGTCACCAAGAGTCAAAAATATATTTCTGTATATCTATTTATGGGCT